ATCCGCAGACATACCGCTGTGCCACTGGGGGGGGGGCGAAAATCGTTGTAATCTTTAATGAACAAGTGAATACAAGTCAGTTGTTTTGACAGCCGTTATAACCCATTCAATTAACTATAAAAATTAAGCCTTTTGACTCTAGAATCACTATGCCCTTAATCAATTAAATAACAAAAACACGTGCCTTATGATTCCTTATAAAAGTAATGAGAAATTCTTAAGACAGAACTGTAATCCTAATTTTAATACTCTGGTTTAGTGACAGGAATCTCTAAAGACACAAAAAGCAACGTGATGGTTATACCTGTCCTATCTCTTCTACTTCTAGCCATATTGTATGTATCGAAACGTCTTTGGTTTAGAAGTCGGGTCGGAAATTCGTATACTTCGCGTGTTCGTTGTTGGCCTCGAATTTCCACTTCCTTGACTAAAATGACGTGACACCGACACAGCTTTTCCCATGTTTGCACTGTGTACAATTTCATATATCTTAATAGACTCGAAACCGGGGTCTACTAATCTTCTATCCTGTCATTCGAAATTATATGACGTATATAAATCTTTCATATTTTACGTACAAGTTCATCACGATGTGATCGTTCGCTCCAAATTTAAAAAGTATTTTTTATTCAAAAAGCTTTTGATGAATTAATTAGGAGCTCAGTTTCCATTGTTTCAAACTTACGTTGTTCAGTTACATATAATTATAAAGATCGAGCGGATAATTTAATTATACTTGAGTTGAATAATCCCGAAACGATTGTTTATCGTGAAACGTGATTCGAAATTAATTTGTTATTAAGATTTCTCGAGACGCCATATTTATATCAGCTTTATTTATATTCACTTCAAATGTTGAATATGGACTTTGAGATTTCCTTCAATCTGCCCTCTATTCAGATCATTCCTTTAACTTACAAATTATTTAGGTTTGTCTGTATCTTAGATCTCTATAAATCTGTGTTATTACCCTCGTCCCCTGGAGGGGGGGGGGGTAGTTGTAATCGAGTTCATGTGTGTGTGTGTGTGTGTGTGTGTGTATGTCTGTGTTTCCGTGCGCGTATCTCAAAAATTAATTGATCGATGTACACGAAAATTTTCCAAGAGATGGGAAGTCAGTATGGGTCATTCCTCCCCAAATTTGATCTGGATCCAAATCCGGATCCAGGTTCTGGATCACTTTGAAGCATTCTATATAATAGGAAGATAGAGTATTTTTGCGGTTTTGGGTTAATAATTCTGTAAAATGTGATCGGTTTTGTACCACATTTCGTGGCATATTAAGGTTGAGACTCCTCATCACAAAAAATGATCCGGATTTTCTGAGTTTTGGAAGGTGAAATTAGACGTTATCCAATATATTCTTTTTCTTTTTAATCCTGTAGACTCCCGGTGGAGTATAGGGCCGCAACAACACCTCGCCAACGGACTCTGTTCTGGGCTGGGTCCACGCCATTCCGGCGGCCTTCGCTTCACTACCGACCGATCTCCTCCACGTCTGTTTTGGCCTCCCAGCTTTTCTTTTCCCTTGTGGGTTCCAGTCCAAGGCCTGTCTTGTAACGTTGTCGACTGGTTTTCGCAGTGTGTGTCCAATCCAGCCCCATTTTCTTTTCCTGATGTCTTGGCTGACTGGGTTCTGGTTGGTCCTTTTCCATAGCTCTGTGTTTGAGATCTTCTCTGGCCACCTGATGTTTTGGATGTGTCGCAGGCACTTGTTGATGAACGTCTGTATCTTGTTGGTGATGGTGTTCGTAACTCGCCATGTCTCGGACCCATACAGGAGTACTGCTTTTACATTTGTGTTGAAGATGCGGATCTTGCTGCGCAGGAACAAGGCTTTGTTATCCGATATAAACGTATCCAATTTCGAAAAGGTGCAGCGGGGCGAGGATATGCAATCTCTCTGGTTGCTTTTGTTTTATATATTAATACATCTGCCTAAACATATATCATTTTAATACTATATTAAAAAATGTTTTAATTTTGGATATCTCGTACACAACTCACTTTTTTTTTCAATTTTAACTTGTACTGTAGAAAATACATACATGTAAATGACGCCATCATATATATTTCTCCAAATCAAGAGGAAGAGATTGTGCAAAATCTCAAGTTTCTTTGTTTTGAATTTCGTGCAAGCCTACACGAGAGCTATCTGCGCTAGCCGTCCCTAATTTAGCAGTATAAGCCTATAGGGAAGGCAGCTAGTCATCACCACTCACCACCAACTCTTGAGCTACTCTTTTACCAACGAATAGTGGGATTGACCATCACTTTATAACGCCTCCACGTCTGAAAAGGCGAGCATGTTTGGTGGGACGAGGATTCGAACCCGCGACCCGCAGATTGCGAGTCGAGTGCCCTAACCATCTGGCCATGCCGGGCCCAAGCTGTTGTGTTCAAAAATCTCGTTACCCACCTCTTCACATATAGACGAGTGAACCGGAAGGTTTACGTTAAGTAGCAGAGGTAGGTACCCGCTCCACGCGTGGCGTTTATTTCGATGTCTTTGAAAGCTTGTGAAAATTAGTTTCACTTCTGAGTGAATAGAACTTTCAATGAATTTCTAGTGGTTTCGAGTCTAGTTTAGTATTGACCTATAGTCGCAGAGTTCCAAATTAGATCGCTTTTGAGCTTAACTTATAACTTATAACTTAAAGCTTATAATTATATATACTATGTTTATTGAATTACATATGAACATACATATGTTACATAAACATACATTAGTTTACGTATTCGTATATACATAATATATATATATATATATATATATA